GACAGCCAATCCATAGCAGAAATAATTTTAAATGTAGCACTGCTGTGTGGGAGACACAGACCTCCCGCCGGCTGAGATGACATTAGTAGATAAAAATTTTAGCTGAAAAATGTTATGATATGTTTATTTTGTCATACAGCTTAAAATATGCTGAGGATAGAGAAAAAAAGAGAGAAATGGTTTAGAGATGGCTCTACCAGCCATTACTCTGCTGGAAATTAGTTTAGAGGCATTATAACATTTTAAATAGACATATGAAATGATGTAAGAGCGCTAGAACCCAGCTACGTAACAGCGCAAAGCGACAATAGTGTTATTTTGGAATGTATAAACAAGTGCTATGAAGATCTTTGGGCGGCCACTGGGTTCTGTTTCCTGTCTGCTCTGTGTGCTCTGTTCTCCAGCCCCATCATGCTGTTGGACCACACACTGTGAGGGCTTAAGCTAGTATCTGAATTTCATTTGCAGATATAACACACACTGGTCTACGCAGAAAATATTCATTCTGTGCCTTACTGCTTCTGTTTGGATTCATGCTGTCTGCCCGTCGTAGGGGTTGTGGCCCACCTTCCCTGGGGCTCATTTCCTCTTTCTCAAAGCTACTGTGCAGAGCTACTGGCTTGTCAGCCCCTGAGCTACCTGACGGGTGTGACTGGCGTCCCCCTACTTCCCCCGCGCTCCCCCCACCATTGTGCCTTGAAGAATGAACTGTTGGGCACTGTCAACAGCCTTCTGTGACACACTTTGTAACACAGAAAGAGAATTTTAATAAGGCCTCCAAGGGTTCTGCTGCCATCTTTAGAGGGAAGGCTTGCTTGGAGGAAGTGCCTGGGAACTCCCAGGAGGCAGTTGTTGCAGCCTCCCCTGCTGAGAGGAAGCCCTGTCATCCCGCTTTCCTTAGCTGTCACTGCAGCCCTAGCATGATTCTGACAGGCTGCTCTTTCCTCTTATAGCCAGTGCTACTTAATGTCACTTTCTTGGTTGAACATCTTTATTTCTGACTTGTTACAAGCCATTAACTAGTTTTCAGGTTTCAATGTCCTGGCTACTTTTGACTAGTCAGTCATTTGGCATAACAAGGTTTTTTTCCCTTTATCTTCTTGCTAAAGCAAATCTCTACAAGAAATGATCAATGTTCCAATTTTTATGAGTCCTAGCAGATAGGAAGTGCCTGTCATCGGATGCAGGGCATCTTTTCTGAAAGCATATTCTACTTCAGATAATAGAACTTGACAGACACTCTAGGTACCGTTGCAGTCATGGAGAAGGCTTCAGACAATTTGAGTGCGGAGAATTTTACAAACACACTTGCGTGTGATTGTTTCAAATAAACACAACAGCGTGGTTATTAATTTGACTTCCCAGGTGCAGTTTCCGCAGCTAGAATTCCTTGAGTCTGTTTTGAGAAGCATTAAACAGATGTCAATCTCTATAAGCACGTCTTTAAGGTGTTATTTGTATATTGCATGGCTAAAATGAAGACTGGCTGCTGGGATATTGATGCTAAATATAATCGATACAGACACGGAGTCTGATGGCATATTACTAAAGCATTAAACATGGAGGCTTAGTTTGCTTTTGCATGGAGTTCCTCACACAGAAAACTAAGGAAATTGAAGCTTAAAACTTTTTCTTCATTATTTCGTATTATTAAGGTTTTAAAAAATACATTCCTTTAAAATGTTCTTGAATATTATGGGCACCTCTATTAATGAACTAGTATATTATCTAAAGCTCAAATAAGAATATTTTTATTATTGCCTAATTAATGGGCTAAGGAGTTTCAAAGGTCAATTATTGACCTAGTGATTGCTCTGATAGGAATCTACCTGAACGTAGGAGGTCAGCGAATTCATAAATGCGTGTTCAATATGTATGACATTTTGTTGCTGGTTTTTGTTCTTCAGACAGTTTTGCTATGTAGCTCAGGCTGGCCCTGAAATCCCAATCCTCTTGCCTCTGAGTACCAGGATTATAGTCTGGCCTTGTTTTTCACTTAGGAATGCATCAGGAAGGGTATAGGTAAACACGTCACAGGGCATCCATCATATGGAACACTGATGTTAAAAATGAGCAGCAGACAGATGTGCTGATGAGCTGGGGTATCCGTGGTACTTTGTTGAGTGGGAGGACCAAGTCGCAGCACAGCATGTCAGTACCTTACCACTTCTGAGCACAGCGGACGCGTGCTCCCCGCCTCCTCTGTCCCTGCATGAACACAGAAAACAGTCTGGAGACACTACCACAACCTGGGTGTGAAGACCCGGGGCAAGCAGGGAGAAAGAGCTGGCTTTTGTTTTATCTCCCATACTATTTGAACTGAGACTCTGTACTATTTATGGACACAATGAGTTAACAATGCGATTAAATAGTTTTCAAAGGAAATCTCCAGGCTGTAGAAAGGACCAGATGGAAAGAGATAAATGCACTTGAAATTTCTAACAAAGGTGCATCTTTCTTCCATTCTGCTAACCCTGACACTTGGAGGGTCTGCATCTCTTTAGAGGTTTTAACAGCCTCAAAAGTGTGGGTGCACATGTTGTCAGCCCCTAGTCTGTGTCGCCTTAGGCAGCAGCCTTGGTCCTCCATTGGTTTCCTGGTGCTGTATTTCAAATCCATTCATAAATTATTAATCATACATGTGTAGGTCAGAGGCACACTGACCCTGACAATCATTCTATAATATTCTCTCTTTAGCACTCAAAGAGAAGAGAAGGGAGTAATCAATATGCAACATCAGAGGCACATCTCACATAGATATGGTGCCTGCACCGAGAAAAAAAAAAAGAGGCAGATCTTTACAAAAACCTGTCAGCCCAGCATTAATCTTGTATTATGAGTAATGTGGCTATCTATGAATCTTTAATATTCCTTAAATGATGAAATTGTATGGTGTGCTCTACCAAAGCAAATCAGATAAAATGTGAGAAGAGTTTGATCAAGGAAGATGTTGATGTACATGACGAGAAGACCTTAGAGCCACTCATGGATGCAGAAAGAGCAACAGCTGAGAAAACTCGGAGCCCAGAGTCATTGAGTTCTGCCCTCATCCACAGTGCCTTGGAAGTTAACTGTGTAGTAAAATAACTGGTTAAAACCATTGTCCCACAAGGCATGGCGTCTCTGGCTAAATGCTACTAGCCGCCAATATCCTACTGGTTTCCAGCACATAGTAAAAACAGCACCTGAAAATTAACCAACACACAGATGCATGCTTCAGACATAAGATCTGCAAGTGAGAAATTATGAATCCAGTGGTTTGCTGAAATGCTGCTGTGTTCACTTGTGCCCATGAAATAGCCCTGGAATAATTTGTTCCAGGTTTAATTTTTGATGAAATAAAAGTGGACCGGGAACTTTGCTTATGAAATTTTCCTAATGAAGAAATTTTAATCAGTGCTTGTTGAACTGAAGATAAAAATATAGTTTGTTTCTTCAGATTTGAGGAGAATTAACATGTATCTGATTGTTAATATTTGATTCTTGTTTAATTATTTATGATATCAAGGAATGAATCTGTCAAGTAAATAATGAAATGCGTACACGCGGCATATGTAATTAGGTTAGGTGCATAAATCCAAAGTGTTCGCTTTAGACTTGTCAGTGCAAAATTTATTAATAATGAGCAACGTTAAGTGAAGAAAGTTCCTAACATATTCTCCCTCATTAGTGTGGATCGTAGCAATTGTTGGTCAAAGAAGGAGAGGAGAAGAGGAGAAGAGGATGGTGGTTAGGTTTCATTTCCTTAGCTGTGCTTTAATGGTTTAAAAAATCAGAGTGAACTGGAGCACATCCTAGCTCTTTCTATTTAGAGATGTATGACCTGACCAGAATGGCTTGTGGGATTGTATGACTGCTGCTAACGGAAGAATTCCATACCTTTTCAATACAGGTTCCCGGGCCTCCACATCCAAACCCTGATTGCAGGGGGAACATCCAACCAAAAATCTAACGTGTAAAAATGTACTGTGTGGGGTGGAGGGAGAGCTCAGTGGTAGATATAGCTCACCCAGCATGTGCAAGCAAGCGCCTGGGTCCCACCCCAGCACCACAAATGAAACCCCCTGTTCTTACGGCTGACCCACTGAACCGTCAGACTCTCACCATAACGTCGGGCTCTAATTTCACCGTGATGGGGAAAGGATGGTCAGCAATGCTCACTTCCGTCCTGTTTCCCTCGTCCTTCGCGGGCAGATCAGACTGGGAGCCAGAGCCTGGCTGAGGATGCCCTTGAGCGCTAGATTTGAAGAGATGCAGAAATGAGTAGGCTTCAGGGGCTAGAGGAGATATCAGGGACCTGTGTGTGAGACTCGAGCGGGTAGAAGGTAGGATCCCTGATTATGATGGGCTGGGGGCTAGAGGATGCCCTTTGTCCAGGTCCTCACCCTTCCGAGTTGTGTGGGAATGGGCACTACTACCTTGAATTAAGGGTCTAATGGGATCACCTGGTTGGAGGGAATTCTGCCCTTCAAGTTAATCATCAAAAGCATGGTGTGCCTTACAGACCAACAAGAAAAGAAGGAAGCTTGCTCACACTGTCATTAAGTAGCATAATTTCCAGAAAGTTCCTTAAACTCTAGGGTCTCAGTTTCTCCACTGGATTTAATGGTCTCTGGTTCACAGAGATGCCACTGTAGCACACGAGAGTATATGTAAGCAATGTGGTGGTGGGGTCTTTAAGACAAGGGGCAAAGGAGGTAGAACTTGGTGAACCCTGAATCTGACTGCTTTAGTTACAGAGGTGGCTTACACCTGCTTGTTGAACGAAGTGGATTTAAGGCGGACCTGAAAGAATCTGCAGCATTTAAATGGTTGCAGATGGAGTTCAAGGGCACACTAGAGACTATGGACATCTAACAGCGCAGTGCACGTCATGGGAAGAGGCACACCAATATGATAGTGGTAGATAAATGAGGTCAGTTTGGGCGAAGACCTGCAGTTTCCAGGGGAGCCGTAGGGTGTGTGGCACACGTCGCGTAAAGCAGGTGCAGTGCCTTGCACTTAATTTAGAGAGAGCCTCAAAGGTGCGCTCGGTGACTGCAGCGCTACCGTCACACGGATGGATGGACTAATTCTACCCTCCATGACTGTCACAAGGTGTGATTTCTTGCTAAGGAGGGAATCCTCCCTTTTTCTGTGCCATAGAAGAAAGGCTCCAGTAAATACCGCTTTCCTCTTTGCACATGGCTTGCCTTAGTTTCCATCCGGAGGAACACAGGCCTAGGAATAGGGACGCGGGTCCTGCAGGTGCCTCGGTGTCCTCCGGGTGGCAGTAGGGCCTGAAGGGCTAGGGAGCGGGAACTCTAGTTCCTCCCTCCCTGCTGGGTAGATGAGAACCCTCCTTAAGGCTAAGGCCAGGCGTCCCTGGGGGTGGTGACCCTGGGCATGGGCAGGACCCGCGCCATCAGGGTTCAGGGTTAGGACCGGTACCCGGATGAGAGCCGAGAGCCAGGCTCGGGAGACACTGCCGAGCCTGGGCAATGTCCTGGCCGCCGACTCGGCTCTGCCCGCCGGCCGGGAAGGAGGCGCCTTGGGCCGCTCATTACCCCGGCGCAGTGGCTGCTCGGGGCCCGCAGCCGGCGGCGGAGCGGGGGCAGGCGGCCGAGACGCGCGAGCCATTTGCATTCCCCGGCAGTCATTTTTATATGCGGAGGTAATGAAGTTGTCAGCGGCGCCCCGAGTGTGGCAGAGCCTGATATTCAAATCGCCTGCCGTGTCGCCTGCCACCCCGCCCCCGCCCCGGCCGTCCCTTGAGTCCCGGGGCTGCGCCGCCCGCATCCGCCTCTCTCTCTCTCTCTCTCTCTCTCTCTCTCTCTCTCTCTCTCTCTCTCTCTCTCTCTCTCTCTCTCTCTCTCTCTCTCTCTCCAGCCGCTTTGTCTCCGTTGTCGCGCCCCTCCCTCCCCTTTGTGTCTCTGAGGAGACTCCGAGTCCCAGATCAGCGACGCCCCCAGGTCTAGTGACCCTGCGACCCCGGGATGCACATCTAACCAGCTATGCGCTGAAGCCCATTCTGCCCTCTTCCCTCCCTCCGCAGTCACCCCTGATCGCCTTCAGCTTCAGCTGCAAGAAAGATGACCTAATCCTGGCATTAGCGATAGGGCCGAAAGGATTGTCCTCTTCTCCTTCTGAATGCGCATTTATGAGCATGTTTATGATTACAAAACCCATATCGGACCGGAACACCCAGGCTGCTAAGAAAAGACTAGCAGCCTTGGTGAGGAAGGAGGGGGAAAGACAGGCACACTTGTCTAGACACGTAAGGTAGACATGACCGCTTACATACCTGTTATTCATCTCCCTAGGCCATGACAGCTGGGCTGCTCGCTAACGTGTCCTGGCCACCTGGGACCTGCAGTGTGGTCAGGTCAAATCCTCCTGCAGAGGAGATACAGTGTGAGGGAAAGATCGTGAACTCTCTCAGTAAAGTACTGACTGGACGTTGAAAGCATCGTATTCTGGATATAGTGTATGAAATAAAATACGGTGTTATGATCAAATATTGCTTTCTATTTTTTAAAGATGTGTGCCTGTGAACAAGATTTACAATTATGTCCGTGGCTCCTATTCTATTTCTGTTGGACAGTGTTAGTCTGTAGGTGGAAGAGCCAAGGAACTTTCTAGCTCTGATTGTACCAACTCACTTTCCTCTGCAGATGGTTCGAAACTGAGCAGGGAAAAGGAAGAAATCAAGAGCGGTCGTCTTTGCGTGGAACCTCCTGACGACCCAGAGCAGAGTCTGTGGCTTAAAAGGTGTCTGTTCTTTCCTTTGTTTTCTGTAAGGGTGCCCACAGCCATGCCACAATCCCATTGTGTGCGAAGTTGGCTTCCAGGAGTGCTTTGTGCCTTTTAGGAGTTATTTGTCCCACACTACACTCACTGACGTGCCGTTTACAAGAGTGAATACTGTGTATGTGCTGTGACTATTTCATAAGTACTGTTGGTGTGTGTTGTTCCTCATCGGGCACAGGCAGCAGAGTAAGGACTCCCGGAGCGTGCATTGGCACGATGCGCTTCAAATGATGCGGCCTGGGGGAGTCCCCGAGTGTGTGCTGATTCCACATGCGGCCATGGCTCCTACTGGGCTCTTACGGTATGGCTCACCAATGATCCGTGCACTAAAGACTCCCGGAATACACATTGACACGATAGAGTGGAGTTGTTTGGGTCTTTCGTGGCAATGATCCGGGGATAATGACCATATCTTGAGATTGGAGTGCTTGTGGTCCTAAGGCACAACCAGAAATGCCCCAGTTAAGCCCTCCTGTGGCTCCCAGTACAGGGTGTCTGGGTCTTTGACCTCCTGCATCCAGACACTGTGGTATCATCAATGTCTGTCAATGTTGTGACTTTCCCCCTACATATAAAATTTGAAACCCAGCATTTACAGTGGGGTCCATGTACTGGGGTTTTGCCTGGCTAATCACAGGTTAAAGAACTATGAAAGGTCATATTTAAAGGGGAAAAATGGTTTGGGGGAGCACACTTGGGAAATAGATTTATGTTAGAGAGAATTAATATAAAATAAATAACCTCATTCCTGAGAAAACCTAGTGAATAACTCATGATGGATAAAAAAAGGTAAGAAGATGGAAGATGCTAGAAATCATGAAGGCACTATATTCAATAGTAACAATTCAATTGTATAAAACACAAGATAAAATCTTCTCTCTTCTTCTTCTACTATACTTTCAAACATTACAACCACTGTTAATGTTTTGTATATTCCTTCCATTAATTTTGTACACAGACAACTGTATATCTCTGTTCTTTGGTTACACAAACGAGTTGACAAGAAACATTACTCTTTGAGGTCTTGTACTTTTAATTAATAATATATTGAACATCTCCCCTCACCCTTTGCAATGACGGCATAGAATTCGGCAGCACGATGAAACAGTTTTTAAAGGCCTACCATTTCTACCCTCACAACAATGAATACTCTTACACCTGTGTGCGTTTTCAAATTTGGACAAGCATGTTCATAGGGAAAATTTTCAGCAGTGGAAATTCTGAGGGAAAGAAATGCACAGTCAAATGTGAACGCATACTGCCAAGTTAATCATCTCGCATTCCAACTAACAGCTGTGTGTCTACTTCCCGCTCCTGGTCCAAGCCATGTTTTGTCACACAGCACACTTCTGATGTGTGTGACCCTGAATTCTCCCACCAAGCTTTCTCCTCAGCTTTCTGGTGCGAGTCCAGCCCTGGGCACTGTGATAAATACAGTGCAGTGTAGAAGTCACACTATGGAGTAGGAAGTCCTGTTAGTCAAGATAAAAAAGAAAGATTGAGCCACAAATCACAGTGAGATTAGCTGAATCTTGGCAACAGTTTCCCACTGTGGGAGGACTAGAATACGGTCACACTAATTTGTCTTTCAGCAAATATTTATTGAAAAGTTATAAACAGCAAGAGAGTTCTCTTTTCAACAGAGTTCTGCTGCCCTTGACTTCTGGGAAAATGAAAAGATATTCTCGCTGGCCAGACTTTGTTCCACATGAATGAAATACCAGATTTGGTTCAGTGAGCAGTCAACCCTACAGGACTTCATAGTGGATCCAGGTATGAGGCCGGCTCACTGGCAGCTATTTGGAAATCACCAACATCAATGTATGAGGCATATGGCTAGGCTCTGTAGGTTCTCACCTAGTTCCTCCGGCTTCTGGTTTTCTCTTGTAAAGTTCAAGTCTCCAAAAAGCCAGGTGAGGCCAACAATAGAGCCTTCTTTGCTTAGTCCAGAATTCCACCAAACTCCTTCATATTAGGCAAGCCATGCATCGTAAGAGATGATAATTTGACACATAGTTGGTCTTATGGGTGTTCTACTTACGTCTATTTTGTTTCTGTCTGGATAAACTCAGATACACGGAAAACATCTTGAGTCTCATAGTGGTTTGAATGATGTCCCCTGTAGGCTCATGCATTTGAACATTTGGTCCCCAGCTGGCGGTTTGGGGAGGTTTAGGAGGTGTGGCCTCCCTGAAGGAAGTGCGTCACTAGGGATGAGCCTTGAGAGCTTAGAGACTCCAGCCATTTCCAGTTGCCCCCTTTCTGCGTCATGCTCGTGGTTCGAAATGCGAGCTCTCAGCCTGCTGTCTCCAGCCCTCAGGCCTGCTTATGCTACCTACTGCCGCGCTGCCCCAGATGCTGCGGCGGTTTGGGTAAGAATGACACCCATAGACTCAGATGTTTGAATACTTGGTCCACGTTGGTGGAACTTTTTGGGGAGGATCAGAAGGTGTGGCCTTGTTGGAGTGCCTTGTTGGTGTGCCACTGAGGGCAGACTTAGTGGTTTCAAAAGACTGATATCATTCCAGTTTGTCCTACTTACAGATCAAGATTTGAGCTCTCAGCTGTTTCTGCCACCATGCCCTTGCTACACCATCATGATGAACTCCTACCCGTTAGAACAAAGTCAAAGAAGCTTCCATTAGCCGGGCAGTGGTGGCGCACGCCTTTGATCCCAGCACTCGGGAGGCAGAGCCAGGCGGATCTCTGTGAGTTCGAGGCCAGCCTGGTCTACATAGTGAGATCCAGGACAGGCACCAAAACAACACAGAGAAACCCTGTCTTGAACCCACATCCCCCCCAAAAAATTACATTTATGTGTTTTGTGTGTGTGCATGTGAGTGCGTGCGTGAGTGCGTGCGTGCGTGCGTGTGTGTGTGTGTGTGTTTGTGTGTCTGTGCATGCTCATAGCACATGGGAAGTTAAAGGACAATCTGTGGAGTTGGTTCTATCCTTCCCCTGTGGGACCAGAGGAATGAGCTTCCATCAGGCTTGGTGGCAAGTACCTTTACTGTCTTGCTAGACTTGTTTATTATTTGCAACAACCAAGCCAAACAGGGCTTGACACTACAGTGCATGCTTGTAATTGCCTGGCACTTGGGAGGTAGAGGCAGGAGACTCAGAAGCTCCAGGTTCACCCTTACGTACATGTCTACTTCAAGGCCAGCCTGTGCTTTATGAGACCTCGTCTCAAAACCAAAGCCAAGAACAAAACAAATGGCGTTGGGGAATACAGCAGGGAATGTTTTATTTACTGTTGAAGATTTGTGACATTAACTCTTTGAACACCATAGTCATTGCTAATCTTTTGCCCTTTTCACCAAACTTACAGGGTTTTACATTATTTATGAAATAAAATTTATTGAGTTTTCCCTCTTTCTGTTTCCGGCCTTTGACTCATAGTCAGATAGACCGCCATTTCTCCTGAAATGGCAATGAAAGTCTCTGTTTTTCCTCTATACTTTTACATCCCAATCTTCACATGTAAGTTTTTGATCCCTCTGGAGTTTACACAGCACGAGGAAGGACTCTAGGATGAGTTTATTTCTTCCAAATAGCTAGCTAGGTTTCCCAAGAACATCCTTGAATGATTCATCTTAGCCCACTGATACACAATTCTCCTTGTCCACATGCCCTTCTGGGCCCCTGATGGTCATTTGCTCAGTTTCTAAGGCAGTGCCATACATATCAGCATCTCATTTCTCACTTTTAGAAATTTCTGGGTTATTCTTGAATGCTTGTTCCCTTAGAGGAATGTAAGGATTATTTTTTCAAAGTTTCCAAAAAGATCCTGTTCGGGTTTTTATTAGAGCTGTATAATTTATGCCATTTATAGCTAAATAAATCTATGGACTAACTTGGGGAGAATTTTCATAGTTCTGAGTGTTATATGAGAATCAGACGTGTGTGTGTGTGTGTGTGTGTGTGTGTGTGTGTGTGTGTGTGTGTGGTGTGAAATGGATTTTACCTATTCTTTTGGGGCATGGGATTGAGACAAGGTCTCATGTAGCTCAGTCTGAATATAAACTTGATATGTAGTTGAGAATGACTTGAATCCCTGATCCTCCTGCCTTCACCTCCTAAGTAAACCCTTGGACTACAGGTGTGTGGTGCCACACCCAACTCATTATCTTTTAATTTGTTTCCTGAAGTTTATTTCTGGGAATCTTTTTGGAGTTTGTTGGCTGGCCATGAGTTCTTAGGTATGTGCATGACAAGTTGCTCCCCAGCATAAAATGTAAGCTTGGAACTGGAATGCAATGGCTTTGGGATCTACCAAAGGCAGCGTGAGACATACACACATGGGCCTTGGGGAAACCGCTTGGTGCTGAGTGGGTCATCAGACATAGGAACTGCTTGAAGGCTAAAGTATCTGTCTCCAAATCCTCCCAATGCTGAGATTCCCAGAAACCTTCACAGAGAGCTCCTATACTGTGAAAGCCCATTTGCTGTGACTCTGAGCCCATCCAGGGGCTGGCTCTGTGCTCCATTGCTGAAAAGTTAGTGGCAGCCATATCACAATGGGAGGCCTGGCTCCTTCTTCTCTGGTTAATTAATGATCCCCTGGGGCCTTGGGGGTGGGGCTTCAAAATGGTAATGGCTTAGAAAAATGCATCAGAGGCACATAGACCACTTGGAGTACCCAGTTAAGAATGATTTGCCACATACAGGAGAGCTTCACAAAGACTTTCACAAACATGGGCATTCAGCTCTGCTGATAGCCCCACATCCTTAATGGCATAATCACCAACATAATCCATTCAGAATAATGGCCTTTTAATACAGAAACAATTACTTCAGATAATAAAATAACACTTTAATTTGCTTGACACCAAGTTTGACCTATGCGGATCATCTGATGGGGAGGTGAGGGGAAGGGAAATCGGCTGAGCTCTAAATACATTATAAAGTGATAACGTACCATGTACTTCAGGCCTGAGATGCTTTAAAAGGCTTGGCAGGAAAAGAAAATGATAATCAGAGTAAGTTATTGCTTTGGAATTTACAAAATACTTGGTAATTTGAGTATCGACTTCTTCCAGTTTCCTTAGAGAGAGAAAGCTATGCCTTCGAGTTAATGCACTTGGATTAAATTTGTTCATTTTGAACACCTACTGTGGGAAGGGATTTAAGGCATGCAATCGCTCAACAAATTGTTATTGCATGAAAACTAATACTGGGTCCTAGGAGGGAAATGCAAACAAAATCCATTGCTCCGCTACATTCTCATATCTTTAGAGCTATCTTCTGGTACTTGTAAACTATTTCTATTCTGTCTTTAATAGAACTGTTTTCTTAAGTGTCTTCAAATTCTTTGGGGAAGTAGGTGAGTTTTAAGTCTTAAATAATTAAAAGCTTCCCTAAGTAAATCTCCTAAGTTGGGAAACGAGACAGCCATTTACTTACTTAGTTTCATGGATTGTTGGTATAGGCAAGGACTCGTTCTTTGTCATTTGGAAAGAGAAAAGCTGGGTCCAGGGTTGGGGGGGTAACATCCAAAGTCTCATGTGATGACTGACTTTCAAGTACCATTGCAGAGCCAACAACTGAAGTCTTGACTGTGAGTTTCTGATAACTAATTCTGTCTCTTATTATGTTAAATATTTCTTAGTACATAAGAAGGAGACATAGTCATCATTTGTACTTTAGTGAGAATTAATTTGTAACAACTTTCCTGCAATAAGTAAAGGAGAAAATTGGTATATGTTTTGAAAAGATGAGTACAAACTGCCAGTAATCTACCTACCAATCTGTAATTTGGGACAGTGTGGTTCATAGTCTTAACACTAGGCTTTGGTGCATTCGAGGTGAGATCATATTTGTTATAGAATATTGTATGCTCATCTTGTTTCCTCTAACATTTTAGGGTTTTTTTCCCATTAAAAATTCTTTGATACAGACTGCCTTCTAAATTCAAGTCTCTCTACCCAGTAGTACTGGATAGTACTCAGCCCTCAGAGAAGTTTCTCAGTGCAGTATATCATGGTTAACTCAGAAACTCACAACCGGTCAAAGTGCAGAGAAGAAATGTCTGTGGCCTGCTCAGCCACACATGGGACATCGATATCACAGCCCCTCATGCCAAGACTCAGGGATCACTGCAGAAGAGGGAGTGGGAGGACTGTCAGAGCCAGAGGTCAGGGAGGTTGGAGCGAATCAGTGTCTTATGGGCATGATAGGACCACCGCACTCATGAGCTCAGGGCAGCTGCACACCCCTGCACAGGATCAAGCCAGTCTTCAGTCTAGCATGTAATGGGGAGGGGTCTGTGAGTCCACCCATGACTGAGGAGCTATTGGCAGTTGATGGGGAAAGGATCAGTTTTGTTCAAGGATGTGGCCCTGGCAGTCAGTCAAATTCCGGTGGATATCCCCACACCTAGGAGTATGTGGACAGACAAACCGGACTTGGGTTCTAAGAAAAGGAAAAAGAAAAAGAAAGGGGAGGACATGAAGTTGGGAGTGAGTAAGGGTTGGATCTTGGAGGAGTTAGGGGGAGGAGTGGGGTGAATATGATCAAAGTACATTGTATACATGCATGAAATTCTCAAAGAATTCATAAAATATTATGTCAAAATATTTGATATCACCACTTCTCTGGACTGAATTATATCCCCTCCCCAATTCATCAGGTGAAACTGTAGCTAGCCCTCCGAACCCCCCTACCCTGCCTTGTCACTGTATGTGGAGGCAGAGCCTTTATGGATGGGATTAAGGTGTGGATGGGGTTAAGGTATGGATGGGGTTAAGGTATGGGTGGGGTTAAGGTATGGGTGGGGTTAAGGTATGGATGGGGTTAAGGTATGGATGGGGTTAAGGTATGGATGGGGTTAAGGTATGGATGGGGTTAAGGGTATAAAAGGTGTGCTGGTTAATTGTTCATCAACTTGACAAAAGCTAAAGTCGTTTGGGAAGAGGAAATTTCATTTGAGAAAATGCCTCCATCAGATTGGCCTATAGACAAGCCTGTGGGGCCATTTTCTTGACCAATGATTCACGTGGGAGGGGCCTCAGCCATTGTGGGCGGTGCCACATCCAGGGCCTGTGGTCCTGGATTGAAACAGAAGGCAAGTGGGGTCAGTCAAGGAGAACAAGCCAGCAAGCAGCACTCCTCCATGGCCTCCGCTTCAGTTCCTGCCTCTGCTCCTGCCTTGAGTTCCTGCCTGCACTTTTCCTCAAGGATGGACTGTGACTGAGATGTCTAAGCCAAATAAACACTTTCTTCCCCAAGCTGATTTGGTGGTCATGGTCACTACCATAAGAACAGAAGCAAACTAGGGCAGGGAGCTGTAAGTAGGGGGCTCTTCCCGAAAACAGTTGATGTCCTTATTCCAAAAGACAGGCAGAGCTCACTGACTGTTGTCTGAGGACACTGGAAGAAGGCATCTGTCTGCAAACCAGGACGTGAGCTCTTATCAGAAACCATCCTGTAGGAGGTAGCATAGACAGTGGGCAAACACCCGGTGTTTAAAGCACCTGATCTCCCAATCTATGGCAGTTTGTTGTGGAAGTGGGAATTGAGAACACGCCCTCTATTGCTCTTCCTTCCTCCTTCCCTCTGTCCTTCCTTCCTTCCACCCCATCTTCCTGCTCCTTATCTCTCTCTCCAGTGTTACAAATTGAACCCAATTGAAACATGTTGAAGCATGTACTAAGTCCACCCTTTGTGACTGAGCTAGACTCTCAGGCCTTATTTGGACTTTTGGAATTTCTCTCTTGGAGAAGAACTTGTGTATACCAACATCCATGATAGACCAGTGCACCCATGGCCTCTCCAGGCTCAGGGGCTACAGCTTACCGGTCCCAGGTCAGTGCTGTGCACGGGGGTCTGTTCTAGTGCCTCCCTACATAGTGTGCTGGCCCACATGGGACAGATACAGAAACTGAGAGAAGCTTGGAACCCTTCGTACTCATTGTTGTACTGTCTAAGAAGTGGTCAGAGGTGGGTTTGTAGGATATAGAGAAGGTTAGGTTATGAGTATTATGTGGCGAGCATATTAGTCCATGGGAAACGGACTAAACAGATAAAGAAACCGTTCCTCACTGTAGACAGGCTGAGAAGCACACCCTGATCAGAGAGGAGAATGTACGTACAAAGGCCACGAAACTCCATTAACCCTTAGAGGGAGGAACAGAATAAAGGAGTTTAAGCTGAAACTCCGCCTCTGCCTGTCCTTATTCTGAGACCTTTGCTAGATTTTTTAAACTCTCTGTCTCGTGGCTCCACACATGCAAACATGGGAATAACGACAGAATTAACTCCATGACATGATGCCACAGGTGAGGAGCATAGCGCAGTCCCTGGTTTGTAGTAGGAACATGTGGAAGATGCTGGAAACTTTTCTTTACTTCTTGTAGCTGCAAAACGCAGCTTTCAGAAGTACTTTTTTTTTTTTTTTTTTAAATCAGCCTCTCTGTGGTCTAGAAGCTATTTGTGTTTGTCTTTTATGGAAGCCAGGGCCTCATCCTTTTCAGGGCAACTTGGATCAGGCCTGACAGGCCAGGAAATCACACACCCTTCAGAGTACTGAGCCCTGCTCCTTCCTTCCCTGCCTCCAGCTCATCAAAAGCTCCAAGTGTTTATCTCACCCTTGCCAGAGGCCATCCGTTTTGGATTGTCCTGAATTTTACTGTCTTGTCCTGTTTACAATCGTCATGTGCACACAGTGGCCTGAGATGAGGTAAGGGATGGGTGTCTGTGACATGTCCATATCTGGCGTGCTGAGATCTGTGTGTTCTGCTTTGCTCTGACACGACTTCAGACCTTATTTCCTATGCTGCTGGCTTGGTGTGCTCAGAGGATGGAAAGAGATGAAGTCAGACCTGGGTTCTGACCTGACTGTGGTGCCCATGCTCTCCGCGTCTCAGCATTCTTATGGGTAAGATGGAGACCTTAAAGAAGCCTTAGCATGGGACTGTGGTGACAGAACGGGACAGCCTTTGAGAATTGTTCTCACACGCAGTAAATGATGTTTCCTTCTCACTCTGCCAGCTTTGGGTATCTTCTTTCTCCCATGTGAGTGCACTAAATACACAAGGCTAACACAAACGCACAGGGTGAATTTACTAATTCACAAAGTCTCCACATTGGCAAGGACTTACTTATTTTATTTATTGTTCTGTGTTCAAGCTCTATAACAATATAAGCAACTATGGATAATTAATTAACAAATTCTGGACAAATAAAAGTGAAGGCCACAGTCCCATGACCTGCCAGCTCCTTCCACACTTGTAGATCTGAGCATCAGAAACCCTGACCCATAGTGAGACATATATTATCTCATACAAGTGGAAGTTTGGAAATACAGTTATGTGATCGGTTATGTTGATAGCTCAGTAACGTCATCCCTGTTCCAGTGCCTTCTCGTCCCTCTGCCCTGCTTAGGTGCCCTCATTGCCGTACCGTAAACAGCGGCTATAGCTCCAGGCATCACATCTAGGCAGTGAGAGCAGTTGAAACAGAGAGAGCCCCTCTCCCTCCCTGTCTTGAGTCTTTTCCAGAGTGGCAAAGCCCACTCCAGACATCTCTAGCTGACTTCTGCTCACTTGCCTGTGTCTAAATCAGTCAACAGCTTGGACCAGTCAAGATTAACTCTGAGTCATGTATGGGGAGAGTAGATACTCAGGCCTTTTCCCAAAAGGATGATGCAAAGGCAGTAAAGACTGCTGCATACACCTTCTCACAGGAGTCTTGCAGGGAAAGACAGCGACGAAGCAAAAATAATTGAACAAGTGCACAAAAGAGGAAATGTCTGTTATATGCCAACAGAGGGCTACTGGCGATGAATGATAAAGTTCTAGTTCTCTGGAAGCAGAGATGCTCTCATCAGGTGGCAACTGGAGTCGAGGCCTTCTGTTGCTTAGAGTTGAGACTATATAAAAAGGACAGCAGGAAATGTAACTGTGTGCATTAATTTGTCCAGTGTATATTAAGGGCTGGTGATAATGAGAGAATTTCATTTGGAGGCAATTTGACAGAATGTGTTCTACCCAGCTACCCAAACTAATGTGCAGTGCTGCCAGCCGACTGTGTCAAAGGGGATGCCTCAGTGCAAAACGATCTCAGGTAAGTCCAGTGTATGCACTGTTACAGTGTCTCCTGGATTAAGGTAGAGATTCAGATACCCCACGACAGTTGCAGTATAGTCTCATGAATGCATCCTCCCTTAATTCGGAGCACACACTAGGTCATTTGGTCAGGCTAGTGTTGACCAGTATTGAAGAGAGGAGTTATATGCAAAAGAAGAGATTCTCCAAGCAGAAGTATAGAGAATGTGTTAATACTCTGTCATGTGAAATAATCGTATACAAATAATATTTACCTTATTATTTAAACAAGACCCCAGAGCCTGAAGTTGATACATTAGTGACTTGTGGATGAATTCACACACAGAATTATCCATTCACATGCAGAATTATCTGAAACCGTATATCCTAAAATACGTGGCAATGCAAATCCTTTAATTCAGCCACGGCTCTCCCTGCAGCCAGTTTGAATCTGTGAGGTTTTCTGGAGGCCTCAGACCTCAGGGCAGGAATAACACCATAGCCCATGCATGCCTTGGTTTCTGGTATTGCCACTGCTAAGCGGTTGAAGTTGGACTACGGCCCACATGTGGCAGTGTGACATCTGAGTGTGAAGCCTGGTTGGTCACACTCCTGGTGTCATGCCTGGCTTGGCTATGTGTTATTGGTGAGAGCTCAAGGAAGTTTTACTCCATCTCCATCCCTCAGTTCTTCATCTGTAAGATGGGAATGTTGGTAGACCCTGCCTTCTAGTGTTGCAAAGGATATGTAAATTAGTAAATAGAAAGTTTTATATATATATATATATATATATCAGCGCCTGGTTCATGGTGTTATTGAACTGTTTACTATTTATATCATATTTCGAACACATGAATTCATCCTGAATTGATCGAATCACATGTAGTCTGATTCAAAGAACGAATTTTTGACCAGTTATATTAAGTATAGAGGAAATTCTTTCCATGTCCCTTGAAATGTGGCACTTCCCTAGTGCATGGGCAAGTTCGTCCCACATGTCTCCAAGCAGCCACAGTACAGCAGGGGTAAATGTTTAATGAGTCACAATATTTTAATAAAATCTGTTATCAACAGACTGCTCAGCCCTCTCAAGAAGTTCGCAGTGATTTGGTTAGAGTGTTCTGGTAGGTAGTTTTTACCTTTGTTTCCCACTGAGCTAAGCATAGTATATTGAATATATGGTTCCAGCATTGTGTTAACATGAACTTTTTTATTTGGGCTTGAACTTAGTTGACTTAACTACTATCATTTGTTTAGAAACTGTTAGTACTTTGTCACAACAGACAGAAAAAAAAATACATTGCTCAGTGACCCCCTTTAGATATCTTAACTTTCTTCTTGGTGAACTATCCTGCTGGAGGTTAGGGTGTGTCTGACTTTGGCAATGAATAGAGACACTCTGCATCCATGGATCTGGGGCTGGACCCACTCTACTAAGGCTGGTGACCTACCATGGGCATATAAGTCGCACCCTGAATTAATATCTTTATAGTCACCAGCAGTCTGAGCTGTGGGAGCCGAGAGACACTGTCTCCTACATTCTGAGAGGCTAGGAAAGCAATCGACCTCTTGCCTGTTTCTGGAATTCTTTGCATCCTTCCAAGCTTCAAGATATTGTCTTCTCTTAGGTTCTGGCTTAGTCTGCAACGGGAAATCAGTCAGTCTCTCTCTCACACACACTACTATTTAAGAATCTCACATACAGCACCTTCTGGAAAAAGCTG